CCCCCCCCCCCCCCCCCCCCCCCCCCCCCCCCCCCCCCCCCCCGCCGGGAGGGGAGGGGGGGGCCGCGAGGTACGTCGGGAGATGTAGTCACGCCCGTGCCTGGGCAGCCTCTTCCGCTCTTCCTGCGCTCGCCCCGAGCTCCGCTTGTGGGATCAGCCCGAGCCAAGGCGAAAAGGCAAGATGTGTTTCAGGGAAGTCGTGTCTAGCGCTGCTCCTGATTTTTTTTTAATGAATTTTTTTTCCTCCCCACCCCCCCAAAAAAGAGCATTCTCCTCCAGAGAATGCTGCTTGCTAGAGAACAGCTGCAAGATTGGCGCTTTGCAAGTTTAAATCGTCGTATGTGACTGGCGCTTCTTTCTAGTGCGATCCCAGGTGGTAAATAGCCTTAGTTTAAGCATCGTTTGTGGAAGCAGTTTCAGAGGCTGCATTCCCACCTGCTGAGGTATAAAATATGGGTTATGACAGACTACCAAAACCAGGGCGCTTTTCACACAGTTGAGGTTCCACCCATCTTTGGGCAAAAATCTGTAGTGGTACGAAACGTGCCTCCCCTACGGCAGAACGCCAGTGCTGTAATGCCTCTCTTCCTAATCACGGACAGTCACCTGAGGTCTCCCCAAGGTGGTAGGTGGCAGAGCTGAACAGATTTCGCAGAAGGCGGCCCTGGGGTTGGGATCCGTAACGCTGGTATAGCTAAGAAGGACTTACAGCCATTCTACTCCTGGACTGGGAATGAAGAGAAGGCCATGTCATGTGGACATAGCAGAAAAAAAGATATTGCCCAGCTATAATTAAGTGCAAGTGGTGAAGCACCCACCGTGCTGGCAAGCCAAATTTGAGCAGAGTGCAGCAGTTTTCAATTTCTTCCTTTATGCTGGCCCACAATCTAATTATCTAGAGCAGTGATGGTGAATCTATGACACACGTGTCAAAGGTGACACACCACGACATTTTGGGTGATCCAGTGGGGTTCACCAACACCCAACAACTATTCTCCCTTTTTGAGTTACCAAAGAAACTGAGTTTGTTTTACTTGTATTTCATTCTTGTAATTATTTGACATTTCTTTATATAATACATAGCACCACACATGACTGGACTGTATTCTTTTTTAAATAAATGAATATTTAAAGAATTGTTTCTCTTCTGTTCGGGGGGGTAACACCCCAAGAGAGTCAAGTTAGACATTTTCTGAATTTTTGACACAAAAGGTTCACCATCACTGATCTAGAGCTTTTGAAAACTACTGTATAGCTTGGGATCCACAATTTGATTCCCTTACCATTAGCATTCACAGGCCCCAAGCTCATTTTTTAATATAAAATCACCCGAGCATGTTCTTGTGAGACTTAGCAATTTCACAAGATTTGATCCATAATTACAATATTAACAACAGTAATGATGGAATTCACATTAGAGACTACCTGCGGGACCCTGACAGACTCGTAGCATCCCCAACCATAAACAATGAACTGTTGGCTAGGTATGATGGGTGAACCTGCCTTTATTTATGGCTGGGAATCTCCATGCAAATTTAGGGTGTGTTCTCCCACCAACTGACCCACAAATTAATTGATTTAATTTTAGCCTAGCATATTGTGCTAACTCAGATCATGTGATACATTTATAGCTAGTATTTAACATGAACCCAAAGAATTGAGTTAATTGAATAAATGAACCATGGTTAAGAATCCATTATAACTTAAACCAAAACCCAAGCACATTATATTCCAGTGTATTGTGTGAATCAAAACCTTATGGTAAGCCCTAGGGCTCTTTGCTCCCACCTAAGAGAACACTAAACTGGCATAGATTTTGCTGTTGCCATCGTAAGTCCCAGTATTCTCTTTCCCCATGCAGGGGAGGAAGACAAGCCTTCCCCCACCCTCTCAACCTCACTAGATAGCAGGAAGACCATTTATCAGTCCCCGAGTTGCAGTGATTGGCAATGGTTGTGACACACAGCTAGCCTGAGGGGTTTATTCATTTGCTAGACATTCCCCCCTTGCTACTTTCTTAGCCTGGGAATCAGCTGCTCAGGCTGGGAGAGAGGAGGCTCTTTATCTGCCAGATCTCTAAGCAGATTCCCAGCTCCTGGAGCTGAATAACCCTGAGGAGGTGAGATCTTGAGCCATAGCTGATAGGGATGAAGGGGGAGGGGAGTTATGTGAGCTGTCCCCTTCCCTGCCACTTTACCCTGCCTCTGGAAATACACTAAACCTGTGTTCAAAAGTAGTCCAGCCAGCACTTGATAGACGCAGTAGGGTGGTAGTTCCTTGAAGCAGCAGAGACATCTGGTTCTCTTCCTCTACAGGTAGTTCTTGTTTAGCGAGCACAATTGGGACCTGCCACTAAGTGAAACCATGACTATGCTTACAATCTTAACTTCAGGTTTCCTTTGCTTTACAGACCTATGAAGGTCATAAATATGAGGACTGGTCACAACATTACTTTTTCATCACCATCATAACTGTGAATGGTCGCTAAATGAGGCAGTCGCTAAATGAGGACTACCTGTATTGCACAGCAACTCCACTGCCACTGATGGTCAGATGCTATTCAGACTGATCCAGGGGTCTGAGCTGGGGACCAGGTCAGAGATTTGGTGGCTACAAGGGGAGAGCCTGGTTTGAAAGATGTGGACTATCCTTCCGCCCAGAGACCACAGGGTAAGGGGTAGGCCTACACCACATAAAACAATGAATCAGTGCTGAGCTGATCTCACCCCCAGGGGTCCCCTGACAATACCACTGACAAAATGGTGAAGTGTATCTGATTGTACCTACAGTAAAACTCCTGCAGTCTGTTAGCTGGTTAAGGGTGAAAATACTACCATGACACTTGGATAGTCAAGGCTGTCATAAGGCTGTCTGGAGTATGGGTTGGAAATAAATTGAAAGCAATGTCAATGTAGCCAATAAAAATAGTTACCAGGACATAAACCCACTCGTCGTTTAGTGACCAAGTTCCATTCCAACAACCAAGTTGTTAAGCAAAATGGTCACTAAGTGAACATGTGGCAGAGAGAGAGTAAGAGAGATGCTGTGAAAATCACTGGTTGCTGCCATCTCATTCAGATAAAGTTCTCTCATACAGCTACACCAGCGTTACTTTCACTCTGGCATGCATTGTTGTCAGGCACATAAAATTTGGTCCCAAATGTGCATATTGGTCAGAAAATGAGGAGTGGGTGTATTCTTACTATGGTTAGTTGCAAGTGGGAAAAGACCCTTAGTGTGATTAGTCGCTTTAATTTAGCATGTTTGTTTGTTTATTTATTTGTTTATCAAATTTGTATGGCCACCCATCTCACAAAACAGTGATTCTGGGTGGCTGTGAGTGTATAGCCATTATGACTTTCTAATCATGGTTTATTGCCAAGATATGTACATGGAAGTAGCCAGGAACAGAAGCTAAAGCAATGGTTATCCAATCCAAGTTAGCATCATAGATATGAACACCTAATTCTGCAGATAGTTATAGGTAAATATTTCTGTTTACTTTTCAGGAACATGCCATTGCGAAGTTTCTGGACAGACTGATATTAGATGAAATTTTTATTATGCAGTCATGCTTGCCTCATTTATGGAATGTTATAAAGGGCCCAGATGGCATCTTCCACTTGTAAACTAACTGTATTTTCACAGCATGGATGCTTTCAGATGAGGCTTTTATTGAGGATTCCCTCTGCTTCACAGCATTTTATTTGGCTGCTAGGAAAGGAGGATCCAAATGATGGAGTCTTTCATTTATAAACTCTGGTGTTTTCCCACTACCTCTTCCATTATTTTCCTTACCAGAAGCAGAAAGAATGAAAGAATGGAAAAAAATTATGGGGAAAAAACCCAAACAATTATTCAGTGTTTTACGTTGTAGAAGCAGACAAGCAACTCCAATCTCCGTGCATCCTTTTTTTTTTCATTATTCCAAACTTATAAAAGGGTTTTCTTTCCGTCACAATTTTCTTCTTTCTACACTTGAAGAATAAAGACCATAAAATATGGGGTAAAAGAAAGCTCTCATCAGTATTAAGTCCCAGGATTAAACACAGAGGAGATTAATATTTTAGTTTAATAATTAAAACAGCAGAATGCAGAAAATTACAGTGTCAGGGTTTGCCAGAAACCATCTGAACATTGCTGTTTGTTTTCTGACTTCAACTCAACTTCACCATGCACATATAAACTAGTAAGCATTGCCCTCACTAAAGCATTTTAATTCAGCAATTCACAATTTCAGTAGACCATAAGCAGGCTGGGATTATAAAACACACTAGGCCAAATTACACCCCCCCCCCAAAAAAATCAGTTATGATTTGCTCCAAAGTGTAAAACCAGCAAAACTTACCAGGGAAAATTCTGGAACAGATTATAATGCCAAGAGTTTGTAAACACCAGAAAAAGATGCATTGCTTGGCAGGAGTTGCATGAATTTATCAAGGATAAACCATGCCAAACCAACCTGGTCTCCTTTTTTGATAGAGTGACTAGTTTAATCGTCCATTGGAATGCAGTGGTCATAGTGTACCCTAATGTCATCAAAGCATTCAACGGAGCTTATCATAAGATTCTAGGAGATAAGAGGACAAAAAGCGTGCTGTCATTGAGCTGGTTGAACAGTCTTACCCAATGAGTATACATCAATGGCTCTGTATCAGGCTCAAAGGTGCCAGTGTCAAATGGTGTACTGTAGGGCTCCACTCTGGGCCCTATGCTATTCAACATATTTATAAATGACTTGAATTAATTTAAGAAAACAAGGGGTGAGCAAGATGG